AGAAATTAATTTCTAGTCATGTAATTAAAGAAAGGAAAGGAAAAAAACTATTATCTAATATAGTGAGATCAATTTTTTGGGTGATTGAATTTTATTTTACATGGTACCTTCAAGTACGGGTTATCACTAGATATATATATATGGAAAGACATATGTATAATATGTGCCTTGTGCAAAAGCTATTGACACCACTGTTTATGTTCATATTCTTGTTCTTAAAATTTTGTGTGGATTTCATGATCTCACAAACAAACCAATTTTATTGGAGGTTTAATTGGTGCTTTGCATCTTATACTGCAATTAAGATTATTTTAATTTTTAACTCTTGCAATGTGATGTAGATCGTAGTAGCTCTGATACCAAAGTGATGCAGATTGTAGTAGCTCTGATGCCAAATTGATGTAGACTAGGAAGGAAAAAAATTAGAGATGAGAAGGGAATGAGAAAAGGGAGAGAATTTGAGGAAGAAGTAATATCAGTATTCAATATCATTAATCAATAATAATCAAAGTCTAATCTAAATAAAAGCTTTACATGTATCCCTTTATATAGGGAAACTAAAACCTTAAAACAAATAAATAATGATAAAAAAATTCTTAAAAGTTAAAAGAAAATACTTAAAAGATAATATTAAAAGTATTCAAATTGCTCTCATGATTAATCTAAAATATCTATNATGTCCCTTTTGCAAAAACTCCAAGAAATAACGAACACAAAGTCGCGGTTGGCTGCGAAAGTGTGAAAGCATGTTGAATAGGTAGGTTGAACATGATACAAATNGAGACACAAAAAATAGAGGAAGGGAGAGATTAGGGCAGACCATTGAGTGTGAGAAGAGGAAATTTGGGGGAGACAGAAAGGAAAGTAGAACATTCAAATTGTACTTGGAGAATTTGAGGAGAGAGAAAAGAGATTTAGGGTAGATATGGGGGAGGGAGAGAGAGAACATTCTTTGAAATGTAAATTATGGGAGAGAGAAAATTAGGACTGAATATGGCATGATTTAGGTTGTGATTTATAGGAGTAAAAATAGGAAAAAAATTAAGAGTGAATATTATTCGTCGGATTAGTATTTTTGAATTAATCTGAGCCTTGAAAAATTCAATATAACATACTCTTAGATTTAACTTATATTTTGCTCAGAATTGTTTTGAACCGTGAAAAGAGATAAGTTTTGAGATTCAAACTTAGCTCTACTTTAAGAGAGAGAGAGAGAGAGAGAGAGTATGCTAATCATGGTTAAAACTTAACACAAGCACTTATGGCAAAATATAATAGGCGATCCAAAAAATATTATCTAATATGATTACTTATTAGGCTGCCAGTTTATGAGGCAACCCCTAATATCTGATGGGGGTGGATTGTGGCAATGAAAGGTGTGTGTCTGTGTGCACGCGAGAAGGGGATTTGAAAAAGAGGGGTTTGTGATTTTGTCGTACTAAATTGTTGTAATTAATTATCAAAATTAATTATTTTTATTAATTTATTTTCAAAGNGAGCCTTGAAAAATTCAATATAACATACTCTTAGATTTAACTTATATTTTGCTCAGAATTGTTTTGAACCGTGAAAAGAGATAAGTTTTGAGATTCAAACTTAGCTCTACTTTAAGAGAGAGAGAGAGAGAGAGAGAGTATGCTAATCATGGTTAAAACTTAACACAAGCACTTATGGCAAAATATAATAGGCGATCCAAAAAATATTATCTAATATGATTACTTATTAGGCTGCCAGTTTATGAGGCAACCCCTAATATCTGATGGGGGTGGATTGTGGCAATGAAAGGTGTGTGTCTGTGTGCACGCGAGAAGGGGATTTGAAAAAGAGGGGTTTGTGATTTTGTCGTACTAAATTGTTGTAATTAATTATTTTTATTAATTTATTTTCAAAGATATTGAAGAAATTTTTTTTTTAGCATTTAAGTTGTCCTAGAATTTTTATCTGTTTCACTAGAAAGATATATTATATTATACATTATAGGTCAAATAAAATTTTACTGCCCCTCGTTCTTTATGTTTAATTGTTATATTGGATGTTATTCTCGATCATTAAGTTGTGTTGAGACCCCAAGCTAGTTTGGAAAACAAAATGTATACCAATTTTATTGAGTTAGACATTGGGATGGTAACATTAGGTACATTTCACTATCTGGGATGTGACATTAAAATTGAGTGTTTTTCACTATTTCGGACAATGAATTATATCTTATTCCACTATTTTGACAGTAAAAGTTCATTTGGATAGTTATTGAAGAGGATAGATTTTAGACAATTATCTAAAATTGTTATAGATTAGTATATTTCATCTCGAACAGTGAAATTAGGATACATTTACTGTCTAGGACAGTGAAATCGAATGTATAGACTTAATTTTATTGTCTAGAATATTGAAATTGAGTGTATTCCATTGTTCGGCGGTTTGACCACCCAATTTTATTGTTTGGATAATGGTAGCTAATTTGGATACATATTAAAGAGAATGGGTGTTTCAAAATTATTTGAAATTGTCATAAATTTATATATTTCACTGTTTTGAACTATTTGGATAGTGATAACTACTTTAGATACATATTAAAGAGAATGGAGTTTTTAAATTATCTGAAATTGTCATAAATTTTATATATTTCATTATTTTGAACTGTTTGGATAATGATAGCTACTTTAGATATAGATTAAAGAGAATGATTGTTTTCAAATTATATGAAATTGTCATAAATTTTATATATTCTCTATTTTGAACTGTAAAATCAAATATATTTTACTGTCTAAAATAGTGAAATTGAATATACTTGACTGAAATTGAACATATTTTAGTATCAGTGAAATTTGTTGCAATTTTATTAATCAATGTTATATATATATATATATATATATATATATTTATATAAACATCTATCTAATAAGATAGCTAGCATTTTGAATTTTATTCACATTTTTTTCGCCCATTTGTATCACATTACACATTTTTATACAAGTTGAATTATTTAATTTTTGATTAATTTGTGGCTCAATATATATTTTTTATTTTAGCCATTGTTTATGCACGATAATGTGCATATATTGATATTTTTTTAAGGTCATGTAGTTTGAAAAACTTTTGTCAATTTTTTTAAATAATGGTTAGAAATTAATTTCTAGTCATGTAATTAAAGAAAGGAAAGGAAAAAAACTATTATCTAATATAGTGAGATCAATTTTTTGGGTGATTGAATTTTATTTTACATGGTACCTTCAAGTACGGGTTATCACTAGATATATATATATGGAAAGACATATGTATAATATGTGCCTTGTGCAAAAGCTATTGACACCACTGTTTATGTTCATATTCTTGTTCTTAAAATTTTGTGTGGATTTCATGATCTCACAAACAAACCAATTTTATTGGAGGTTTAATTGGTGCTTTGCATCTTATACTGCAATTAAGATTATTTTAATTTTTAACTCTTGCAATGTGATGTAGATCGTAGTAGCTCTGATACCAAAGTGATGCAGATTTTAGTAGCTCTGATGCCAAATTGATGTAGACTAGGAAGGAAAAAAATTAGAGATGAGAAGGGAATGAGAAAAGGGAGAGAATTTGAGGAAGAAGTAATATCAGTATTCAATATCATTAATCAATAATAATCAAAGTCTAATCTAAATAAAAGCTTTACATGTATCCCTTTATATAGGGAAACTAAAACCTTAAAACAAATAAATAATGATAAAAAAATTCTTAAAAGTTAAAAGAAAATACTTAAAAGATAATATTAAAAGTATTCAAATTGCTCTCATGATTAATCTAAAATATCTATTCAATTCCTACACGATCCCCATCACAATGTTATCTCACGCGCCACACAACATTAGGACACGTGAGTAATCAGTGCCATGCGCCACACAACATTAAAATTATTTGGGCATCACGTCAATTGTCGGCACCTTCTTTTTAAAATAAGGGTAGATTAGAAAGTAACATAATAAGAAAGTAAATATCTAACTCTCTCTCTCAAGNTAAAAGATAATATTAAAAGTATTCAAATTGCTCTCATGATTAATCTAAAATATCTATCCAATTCCTACACGATCCCCATCACAATGTTATCTCACGCGCCACACAACATTAGGACACGTGAGTAATCAGCGCCATGCGCCACACAACATTAAAATTATTTGGGCATCACATCAATTGTCGGCACCTTCTTTTTAAAATAAGGGTAGATTAGAAAGTAACATAATAAGAAAGTAAATATCTAACTCTCTCTCTCAAGCTGGTGCATAGAGATAAAAAAATCCTAAATTTGGAACAAATGGTACTAATGGTGGACCGCGTCAATAATTTGGTAAGGATATCACCTAGTTGATCACCGGGCTTTACACTAGGAGTAATAATCTCCTTTCATTTTAAGAGATCCCAAACAAAATAAGAATGAACCTCTTAATGTGTTTGGTATGCTCATGAAACACTGGATTATTAGCAATAAAAATGACTGCTTGGTTGTTACATTGCATCTGCATAGGTGGCAGCACATAACACCCATCTCATGAAGTAAAAAGCCTTTAACCTTGCTGGTCTAAGTCATGACAGTGCCTCTTTAAGTGGCTGAAATGTTAATTTCTTGATAATGTCTTGTGACTGATATTAGCNAAAAATGACTGCTTGGTTGTTACATTGCATCTGCATAGGTGGCAGCACATAACACCCATCTCATGAAGTAAAAAGCATTTAACCTTGCTGGTCTAAGTCATGACAGTGCCTCTTTAAGTGGCTGAAATGTTAATTTCTTGGTAATGTCTTGTGACTGATATTAGGTCGTGTAGTGGGTCATATCTTTACTCGTGTAGTGGGTCATATCTTACTGTGCAACCACATTCTTCCCAACAAAATATGACAAGCATCCATCGACACAGTGAAACAGAAAGTCTTATTGTTGAAATTATCACCCAAACTAATTTGACTGAACAGCCAAAAGTAACTATCACCTCATTTCCCCTCGAAACCATGCACCTTTGCAAGGATTAGGATAGCTCTGAGGCTCTCAATTGGCTTTTCAACTTCTCTACAACTTCTTTGGAACTGTAGTTCTCACTGCTACCACCATCAAGGGTAACATCATATACCTTGCGCCACAAAATACTCTAGTATAGAAAGAAGTGTGATGCCTCTAGTCTTCATCTTCAGTCTCTGGTGTTGTCATGATTCCTCAAACCACTAAAGATTTCCCTTCTACTGGTAAGACATCCACAGTCACCTCTTGATTGACAGATCCATCATAAATTGACTCTGGAGCCTGGATGTTTTTGTCATGAAAGGGCCTGCACAAACCACGACATATCCTGAATTATACATCTTATCTCTGCATGTCTGCGATTTGGACCTGCTGTCTTCTTCCTCTGTGTCCTCTTCGACCATGAGCAGCCATGGGAATGCATTGAATTTTCCTGCGATAACCATGTTGAGGCAACAAAGACCTAGATCTCACCAGAAAACAACCAGAAACAAAGCAGACAGCAGATAATAATTGATATTGAACACCGAGAGTACTCTAAAACTGTATATGAATCAAGATGAGTGCAAAATATTGTGATTCTGGAGCCTGTGACAGATCAAAGAGTTACTGAAATATGAACTGCCGGAGAAAATAATAAAGGTTAGTTGTTTGGCTGATATTTTGATTCCTGTAATCTATACTTTGGCATCTTCATCGTGAATATGATTGTGCTGTGCCAATGTGATGGATTTGGTCATTCAAAGCTTAAATAATGAGAGATCATCCTCCATTTGCAGGATGTTTGCAGCTGTTTTCCTTGCATGCTTATGTAGGTTTGGTGGTATATTGATAGTGTTGAGCAATCTAGAACTTGCAGTGGCGGGAGTCTCATGCATTGAGTTGTCTTTTTTTATTTATAGTGTTGCACAACACGCATGAATTCCCACTTTATTTGTGTTTCAGCTACAGGGATACTTTGCTGAACGACTGATATCGAGGCAGACATTGCAGCGGAATACTGTCATGCAAAAAAGAGTTGGTGATCAGGTGCACAAGCTATTGAATTAAGAAAATATTGCCTTTATCTAACTTTTTTTGTTCAGTCGATGTTGTCCAATTGTGTAGGTTACTAGGTTTACAGATTGAAAATATTTTTTCAAGCTCTGTGGCTCTGATTTGAAACTTCCACTGTGGACCAAACATAAATTATGATGGTCCTCTTTATTTGTTGAATGCTTGATCCCATGGAAGAGAAATTTACTACTAAGCTGCCCTTTATTGTAATCATTGAGAGATGAAGGCCATTTTCTTAGATTGTTACTTCTATATTGANAAATTATGATGGTCCTCTTTATTTGTTGAATGCTTGATCCCATGGAAGAGAAATTTATTACTAAGCTGCCCTTTATTGTAATCATTGAGAGATGAAGGCCATTTTCTTAGATTGTTACTTCTATATTGTGGCTAAGGCGACTTGCTTTTAGGACAAGTCAAATGGTAGGTTCTGGGATGAACAAGATTACTAAAAAAGTATTTGGGGACCATTGTTCATCTTAGTGATAGTGCTGAAATGACTACAGTATGTTAACTGAACATTGCCTAGAGCAAATGTCAAAATGAGTTGTTTTGTTATCATNTACTAAAAAAGTATTTGGGGACCATTGTTCATCTTAGTGATAGTGCTGAAATGACTAAAGTATGTTAACTGAACATTGCCTAGAGCAAATGTCAAAATGAGTTGTTTTGTTATCAGTATTAGGTGCAAAGGAGTTGCTTACTAGATTCGGATAGTTTTTCTGGTTTTGTAACAAGCCCCTCTCCCCCCCCAAAAAAAAAAAAAAGAGAACGCAAAAAGAAAAAAACCTAGAATATATACCAAGTACTGGAAAGCAAAGAAAATGAATCTTTGAAAATTGAAAGATAGGATGATAAGAAAATGAATCTTTGAAAATTGAAAGATAGGATGATAAAACTATGGTTTTCTCCTGCCCGTTGACATTCTCCTCAGTTGCGTGGGTAGAGAAATATGCATAAGTTAGTGAGGCAAACCGTGAGCCTTTATTTTCTTAGTGTGAAAAAAATTCCATTACAGTTGCTTACAGAATGATATAATTTTTCTGTGGACTTACTTTTACAGCTTTTAATTTACAGATTTTTATTGCATTTCCTTATCGACGAAATGGAGTGCTTGTGAGCTGCAAATACCGGGATATCAACAAGAAGTTTTGGCAGGTTTTTGTGGCAGAAGCTGCCTTTCTTCTTTTAATCTTTGGATTGGGTATAAGATAGTACTATTGATCTTTAAATGTAGTATTAAGCAAGCATATTTTGATTGAATGGCTATGGCATCAATTAACTTCTTTTAAATTATTGAGTCCATTGCTGGTGATTTCATTTGTTTAACAGTGGCTTATTTTTATGATCAAACTTTATGTTACCAAATATTTGTATGAGTAATCTCCATTGGAAATAACAATCCGACCTGATCAGAGGGCTTTCCAGAAGAGGGATCTCAAGTAATATTTTTTGAACATGGTTCTAATTTCTTTGGACTTATGCTCCTTTTTGGGGCTACCTTTTTTATTGACTTCCCTATGTTCCCTTGGATATGAATTTAGAAACTTTCTTTTTGTTATAATAATATATCTATTTCTCTATTTGACAAGTTTTGCCTCGTCATATGTCTTATTTTTGAAGTATGGTATTTAAGTCATTTTAGAATTACACTATTTCAATTGTCATCACTTTTGCTGTAATTCGCAGGAAAGAGATACTGAAAAGATATTCTATGGACTGGATGACATCAAGGGAGAGAGCGATATCATCATCGTAATATCTTTATGATGGTTTATCTATTTGCCATCTTGCTGCTTATGGACAATTCCATAAATTTTATGCATGATAACTGTTATCTACATTTTTGACTACAGGTTGAGGGTGAGATGGACAAGCTTGCAATGGAAGAAGCTGGCTTTAGAAACTGTGTGAGTGTCCCTGATGGTGCGCCTCCATCAGTCTCCACTAAAGACTTGCCATCTGAAGAACAGGTCTCTGCCTACCTTACGTTAAATTGGCAAAATTTCCTTTCTCTTCAAGTTTGAATTGTTCAAACTTTGGTTTTTGCTTCTTGGAAGTGTTCTTTAATGGTAACATTATGACCAAGCAAGAGTAGGAGAAATCAAGCAAGAACAAAAGCGTCTTGCTTGTCGTTTCTCAATATAACCTCTGTCATTCTATTTTGAAGTATTGCATCTAATCCTCCTTTTATGGATTTTGTAAAGCTAGGATACAAAGTATCAGTATCTTTGGAACTGCAAAGAGTACATAGAGAAGGTTGGTTAAGTTGGTCTGCTTTTATTTTCCTTTCTTTCTTTTTCCCTTTTGTTGTTAATTATAGAAGTAATAATTGCTGAAGTCAAAGGCATCTGGTTGTCCATTCTTTTGATAGGCATCACGCATAATACTTGCAACTGATGGAGATCCACCAGGTCAAGCTCTGGCCGAAGAACTTGCACGCCGCCTTGGAAGGGAAAGGTTTGCATAAATTTGTATACTTGTGATGCAGCCTTTTAAATTTCATGATTCATGAAAACAATATTTCTTGCAATGGGTTATCTTAGTTGACACTACTTTTTTTGGTAAACAGATGTTGGCGGGTCAAATGGCCAAAGAAAAATGACTTGGATAATTTTAAAGATGCAAATGAGGTTTGATACCCATATTTGCACTCATCATTTTATTTCTTTTTCTGGTTGGAGGATTGATCATAAGAGCTTAGCAACTTTCAACTTTTCTAATGGTAGATCTACCCAGTGTTATTTAAGGCGTTAAGCGAACCGAAGTGACCAAGGCTCTTAACGCCTAGGCGAGAAGCGAGAAGCGAAGTGAAAGNTTTCTTTTTCTGGTTGGAGGATTGATCATAAGAGCTTAGCAACTTTCAACTTTTCTAATGGTAGATCTACCTAGTGTTATTTAAGGCGTTAAGCGAACCGAAGTGACCAAGGCTCTTAACGCCTAGGCGAGAAGCGAGAAGCGAGAAGCGAAGCGAGCAGTTAAAAAAATAAATAAATATTTTAGCNGATTTACCAAAGCGAAGCGAGCAGTTAAAAAAATAAATAAATATTTTAGTGTAATTATTTATACACATCAAAGTTCTAATTTTATATATACTAAATATTTAAATGCAAGTAAAACCATAAACATTTAAATTAAAACAAACACTAATAATATTGCAAATCTTAATAACAGTCATAGCTTAAACATTTAAATTCATACAAATACTAATAATATCCCAAATCTTAATATTTAAAAACATAAGATACACAATTCAAGCAACTAAAGAAAATATCTTNAACACTAATAATATTGCAAATCTTAATAACAGTCATAGCTTAAACATTTAAATTCATACAAATACTAATAATATCCCAAATCTTAATATTTAAAAACATAATATACACAATTCAAGCAACTAAAGAAAATATCTCAAGGACTTAGAAATCAATCCTCATCACTAAAGAAACCATCTTCTTCATTATCCTTAGATTCATATCCCTCAGTATCCTCCTCCTCTGCCTCATCTGAAATTATGTCTTCCTCATCTGTGAGTCCAGTCGTCGATCTTATAAACCTTGGTGTTACCCTAGTAGATGGTATTGATCTAGTCCGTTGGCTACTTTCCGTAACTCTAGAAGCTCGAGCAACTTCGCCCCAAGTCAAAGTATCATCACCAAACATAAGCTCATTATCTTCATCTGTGTCAGCATCCATTCTCCCAATCAACCACTCATTGCTATCATCAATATTCTTCAAAGATATTGGATCAATTGTGTCACGGGAATCATATTGGCGTCTCAAAGCTCTATTATATTTAACAAACACCAAATCATTGAGACGGGATTGAGCTAGTCTATTTCTTTTTTTGGTGTGTATTTGCAATAATTTATTAACAATACATTAAAATTTATGATAAGATTAAAAAAAAATGTAATTGAAGAGGTTTGAGGATGATACTTACATGCTCAAACACACTCCAATTTCGCTCACAACCGGATGCACTACAAGTAAGGTTTAAAACTTTTTTTGCAAAGGTTTGCAAATTTGGAGTTGCAGACCCATATGCACTCCACCAATCAGCTGTGAATAATGAATAACAATTAATTAACTAACATATTTAAGCAATGATAATGAAATAAGCTTGTGGGATAACATAGATTACCTGGTGCCCTAGTTGTTCTTTGTCTAACCGCCATGGGCAACTTAAAGAGGTTTTCACCTTTCATGTAAATACTCAACTCTTGACCAATTTTATCTTGTATCACAGGATTTGAGACCAACTTTTCCAAACATTTATATAGACCATTCATGACTTCTTGATCTTTCTCAACCTCTGGATTGGAATAGAAAAACTCTGGGTTCAAAAAATACCCAGCTGCATGCAAAGGCCGATGCAATTGAACTTCCC